GTTCTGCTGGAAATCCCACTGCCTGGAGGCAAGAGCGCCTATGGCAATGACGGCAGGTGTTTGTGACGCCTGAGAGGGAAAGTGTCCCCGGGGCTCAAGTCAGACACGGAAGGCACACTTGAGAGTCAGTCAGCCATTTGACTTCGTGTTCCGCTCTGCTTATGCGATGATTCTCTCGGGCATCAACATTCATGATGTGCCTCGTGAAAGCAAAAACGGAGGAAGAGCTTAACATTTCTTCCATGCCTTGTGTCACCCGACTCCTGCTCTGACCTCCTCCTCTCTGCATGATACCAAACTCACTGTCTCAGCACAGCAGAGCGCCCACACGCTGTCTCAGGGGCGTCTCCCAGGCTGTGACTTCTGTCACATACCACACTCAAAAGCTCTTAGAAAGATCCCAGGGTTTCAAGTCAGGGAGCTGGACTTTGAACCTCCCTGGTTCATCCTCTTTCCAGCTGTTAAGTCGCTTAACCTCCATGAGCCATAGTTTCATTGCTAAGCATGGGGAAATTCTGGGATCCATCATATAGGGTGGTTGAGAGAATAAAGTACATTAGACATGTGGGGCTGGAGAGATGGCTCAGCAGTCAAGAGCACTGGATGCTCTTCCAGAGGACCCACGTTTGATTCTTAGCACCTACGTTTGATTCTTAGCACCTACGTGGCAGCTCACAATTATCTCTAACTCCAGTTTCAGAGGATCCAATGTCACCTTCTGGCTTCTGTGGACACTACATATATGTGGTACACAGATATATGCAGGCCAAATATTTACATATATATGTATATATGTGTGGGGGGGGAAGAGCAATATATATAGTAAATGAAATCTCCAGAATAAAATTTAATGCCATTAGATGTGTAAGATGCTTACTATGGTTAATACCTGGCTGGGTATTGAAGTCTGTTAGTAAATGTGTAGCCAGGTATGGTCACTGAGCCTGTAGCTCCAGCTTTTGACAAACTGAGGCCAGCCTGGGCTATAAAGTGAAATCTTATCTCAAGGAAAAGAAAAACCTGTCGTGTTGAACTGATGCGCTCTCCCCTGGGAAGCAAGAGATCTGGGCACTGGTTAAAGGAACACGTGCATGGACAAGTCGCTGCCCTTCGCTTAATTAAATCGCAGTGGTGAGATGACATAATGCCAAGCTTTGTGTCCCATCACCTTCATACGGAATCAGTGACCTGGCACCCAGAGACCATCTCCATCCACCCTCCAGGCAGACATCGCTAGCTGATCAGAGCATTCCAAATTCCATGCTGGCCTTGGAATCATCGCTCAAGGCTCCTTGGAGGCATCACCAATCAAATCTGAATTGACAGTTGAGATTAAACTGACTTTTCATTCCTGGCCAGTGCCCTGACTGGACAGAACACAGCGTAAGAAGGACAGGAAAGGACACAGTCAAGGTGAAGTATCTGTCCGCGGTGGGTCTGAGGGTAGGGGTACAAGGCAGCATCAGGAATGTGGGGCCAGGATCCAGCGGGGACAGAACACTGGGGCACATAGTCACAACTGTCACCCTGTTTGTGCCACAGCAGCCCCCTTTACAGGGAAAGCTTGGTCTGACCCTGTGGAGAGTGCAGGAGGCGGGAAGGGTGTTGGCTGCGTGCCAGACAACCTCTCCTTTACTTTGGAGAGGTTTTGATCACAGTATTGATTTTGCCAGTGGCTGCAATTCCTCCACCTTAAGGGCAAGGAATTGGAGACACAGCTCTTTGCCATAGGGATTTGTAACCCATCACGGCCACTCCGTTGTTCATGCCCCAGTGCCTTCTGTGGAGCTGGGGTAGCACCCATGCCCACTCCATATGCCATCCTACTCATGAAAACTCAACTGCTTACCTCACCATCAGAAAGCAGACAAGGCCTGCTGGGTATGCACTCACTCCTGCCAGCTCCACCCTGAAGTCTGCCTGCTGGGACCCCGGGTAATGGAGGGGGCACAGGCCGTGCCATCTCTGCCTGGAGCCTCCTGTACTTAGACTCCCTATCTGACAACTTGCTACACTAAGGGTATAGCAAGTGAGGTCGAATCCCAGGCTAGTGAGGTTAAAACCGCAGTGGTTTGTACCAGGACCGATCAAAGCATTTACCAAAGTCGGGACTCCTAAGTTACACCCTGCTTCTGTTGCTGCTGGGACTGGCCACACTAGGCTGTAACTCCCCAAGATCACCTGCAGTCCCAGCCATTCTGTGGGCATAGTCATACTGGGGGTCATCATTCACCATGAATTTGGACAGCCAGAGCAGGAAGCGCTCATCCCAGCAGCCAAAAGAGCTTACTTCCACCCAACGCCTCCCTCCCTAGTCAGGCCTGATTGTGTATGACACTTGCTGCAGGCCGGACTTTGATGGCCGTGCTGCTGTTATGTAAGGGGTTACATAAGTCACCGTGTGATGCGTGCCCCATGTTAACAGAGCTTCTAGCCAGCTGCCATACCCCAAGTGGCCTTTCCAAGTTCCTCAAGGCAGAGCGGCTGGCTGCCTTCATCCCCCACGCTGGGCAGATAGAGTCCCTGGTTGACAGCTGTCAGACCACAGCGTATTGGGATGTCACAACCAAAGACAGGGACACACAGACAGCAGTGATCCATCATTCCCTGCCCATGGACAGTGCCGGACAGCAATGCTGGCATCTGAGAGACAGCAGTTAGCACCCATTCCCTTCCACTCTGAGGTCAAGCAGGATTTCACCTAGCTGAGATGGGGGGGTGGGGTTACGGGTCACAGAGTAGGCAGTGGGGGCTCCCTAGCACGCCGGGCTGAGGAGGAGAAGGTTAGAGCCCTGCTCTGTGGTCGGCTTAGTGCCTCAGCTCAGATCACTTGCCCCTGGCAGAGCTTGACAGAGACTCCCACCTGGGTGCAATCGGGAGTCTACCTCCTGCTTTAACTGTCATCGTGCTGGGGAAACAAGACAGTCACCGCGGTCCAGTCACGGCAGCTGCGTCTTTTGCCCAGGACATCTCTGCTTCCACAATTCTAGAACAAACCTGCAGCCAAACCCCTACTGCCCTTACCTGGACAGAGTTTGGCAGCAAAGGAAACAAGAAGTTGTTTCCAGTCGACAAGATGCAGGCTGTTCCATGGGATGGAGAGTTACTTCCGGAAACAAGCTGCCCTGTGCCAAACCTTGGTAGGACAGAACACATTTAGGGCACACAGAGTCTGACTTGGGCCATGTTGGGGTTTCACTACTGAGCTACCCCTCTGTACCCCCAGCCTAGAAAGACATTTTAAGATTGGATTCCCATGGAGCCCACTAATCTAAGAAGCATGCAGATATCACTTCAAGGACACAGGCATGCTGCCATCTTGCCATCTTATAGGAAGCCCATCCACTGACAGCAATATTCTTGGGAGCAGGGAATATCCTTGTACCAGGGAATAGGGCCCATGTGTCACAAGCTAGGTGCTGATTGAAAGGGCAGAAAAGGGCTGGATACTTGAGGCAATGCCCCAGCATGGTGGGAGCTAGAGGGGTCTGAGGGGAGCTGGCAGGTGCCTACCCCGTGGGTCACAGGACCTTGGAGTCTATCTCCGGCAGAGTGTACCAGGGGTTTGGAGCAGAAAGGATGCTGCCTGATCGTACCTGTCTTGGTGCTGGGACTTTGCTACAGAATTTCCCCTCCTAAACCCTGGGGGTTAAAATAGCAATGACACGGCCCTCAGCCATGCAGAGGCAACTGCCGAGGACACTGAGTGTGTGATGGCTGCCACTGCAGGGATCACAGCCCCAACCTACCCCTGTCTGGGTGCCCGGCTCGGCTCAGAGAACAGGTGCTAGCTCCAGGTGTTGGAATTGCAGCTCATTAGCACTGAGCCATCTCTAGAGGAGGGACAGGTGCCCCATCCCTACAGCAGCAGCCTCTGGGTACCACTTCTGAGTGAGGGCCTGTGGCCATCTGTCTGCCATTTAGGCTGTGGTATGAAGGTGTGGGCCAGGATGCTGAGAGGAGGACAGGAGAAGAAGGCGGCAAAAATACAGGGAAACAGAGGAGGGGAGGAGAAGAGGCGGGTGGGAGACACTCAACAAGTGGGCACGGAGACCCTGCCATGAGCGCTTCCCAAGCAACTTTGTTCACCATGTGGCTGTCGGCCTCACCTTCTCTCTGGGCAGTTGGTGGGCAGGGCCAAGGCAGCCTGGGCTTCCTTGCTTGCTCCAACTGAGCGGCCCTGCTTGCAGCCCTGCCGGCGTTGGCACGGTGACAGTAGCCAAGTGTGCAAACTTGTGCCATTGTCCCTGGGCCAGGGGGAGCCATGGAGACTAGCTAATATGACACAGGAAAATGTTTGCTGATGGCAATTCTATGGGCTTTGTCCACCTCTTTCTCCATCATGACGACTCGATTTAAGTCCCTAACTGTTTGACTACAAATGCAAGGGGACCGTGCAACGCCACCCTTTTGTCCAGCCGCACTGAATGGGCAATTCAGGCTTTGTGCGGCTCAATTGAGGAAGCAGACATAAAGACAAGATTCCTGAGAGCCCCGGCTCCCTTCCCATGGATATCCCAGCACCCCTCAGCTAGCCTGTCCAGGCTACCTTTCCCCACATCAGTGTACCTCTCGACCCATCCCAGGGGACCCTTCAGGAAGGGTGGGGAAAGAGGCTAGAGACACGAGGACAGACAGAGTCAGAGAGCACACGCTCAACACTCAAGGGCAGAGGGAAAGCAGCCCACGCCAGCTTACCCCATCCGATTGTCTGTCTGCACTGGAGCATGGCAGCTGGAGGCCTGGAGTATCTGGGGAAGGTTGGGTGCCTGTCTCTACTGCATCCAGCCCTCCTTGATCCTGGACATTTTGCACACACACCCCCTACTCCCTCAAGAAACCAGGGTACCGAGGTCAAGGGGAGGGGGTGTGTGGAGGCCGGGGAAAGTGGGGCTGAAGGGTAGAAATTTACCGGGAAATGATTGCATTTGGGAGCTGTCTTTTTTTGTGATGGTCCCCATGGTGACAATTTGTGACGGCAAAGAATGTGGGACCGGGGCTCCGCCGCCTGATTGGGATGCTTTGTATCTGGAGAGGCGCTCCTGATTGGCCTGAGGGCCCCCCAGCTCCGGACTTGTCCTCCATTCAGCCCACTCAAGGGCTGCACAACTGCTTCTCACCCTGCACGGAGCTCGCTGCACGCCAGCTCGCCGGGCTTGCCTGGGTCTACGGTGGGGAACCTGCCGGCCACGTTGGCGGGGGTCCCAGCCCGCACCTTCGGTTAGTGTGGAGTCCCAAGTGGTCTGACTAGGCTGGGTGGAGGGTGTGAGCGGGCTAGGGCCTTGGGGGAGGGGCACAGTGCTGTGGGTGGCGGCCGAGGAGGCATGAAATTGCTGCAGATGGTTCTACAGGGGAGTTCCTGCTGCCGGCAGCCTGAGATGAGCCTTGAAGGCAGGTCTAGATTAAGTGCTAGACAGGGATCCTGCCTGGCCCTGTGTGAGAGTTGGGGGTGGAGCGTGGGGACTGCAGAGGGGGCGGGGTGGTGGGAGGGGGAGGCCACCACCACGGAGGGGGAAGGGGGCTTGGCCTTCTGTAGAGAATTTCTTTGGCTTTGAAAATAAAACTTGAATGGCGATTCGTGCCTGCTGGGCTCACAGTATGTGGGAGACGCGACCAGCTGGAAATGTAGCCCCAGCAATGCCACTTGTAGCTAGATGGTTTTGAGCAAGGTGATTCTTTTTTCTGAGCGTCACTTTCCAGGAGGGGGCAACAGACCCTCAAAGACTGAATGAAATAGCTGGCACCTGTCTCATTTAGTCAAGAGATGCTGAATGACTTACCAGGTGTCCCATTGTGGATCCTGGTTGGGACAGAAGGGTGCCGGGATCGGCGGGGGGGGGGGGGGGGGGGGGGGGGGGGGGGGGGGGGGGGGGGGGGGGGGGGGGGGGGGGGGGGGGGGGGGGGGGGGGAGGAGGGCTCTTTGCATTCAGTCCTGGTGGCCCTGGCAAGGTGTAACTGCCCTGGAGAGACTCCAGCTGCCTTTTGTGCTCCCCAGGTCCGCCCTGTGCTCTCTTTGGAGCTGCCAGCCCCCAGCAGAGCCTGCACTCTTCATGGAAAGCCCCGCGCGGTTCCCGTGGTGATGGCAGCTGACAGTGATGTGAAGATGCTGTTGAATTTTGTCAACCTGGCGTCCAGTGACATCAAGGCAGCCCTGGACAAGTCGGCCCCCTGCCGCCGCTCTGTGGACCATCGCAAGTACCTGCAGAAGCAACTCAAGCGCTTCTCTCAGAAGTATTCGAGGTTCCCTAGGGGCCTGCCTGGCAGGGTGACGGAGCCTCATCTGCCCAGAGGGCCGGAAGAGAGGCCTGGGCAGCTGCCCCTCCACCCGTGCCCCGAATCCAGCCCTGGCGGGGATGGGTGCTGCAAGGAGAAGGCCCTGGGGACCCCCTTCAGGGAGGAGTGCCTTTCTAAGGAGCAGAGCTTTGGGGGGCTGAATGCAGAGGCTGCTAGACCTGGCCAGGTGCCCATGAGGAAGAGACAGCTGCCTGCTTCATTCTGGGAGGAACCAAGGCCCACCCTGAGCTACTCAATGGGGCTGGAGGTGGGCCTAACACCCAGGGAGGCATCTCTGTATGAGAATAAGAAAAATTGCAAGGGTCTTGAGTCCCTGGGGCCTGAGACGGCTCCATTGCCCATGTCCCCAAGGGTTCTAGCTGACACGGAGCCACTCAAGATGTCTGGGGTATCTTTGGTAGGCAGCCTTGATGCCTGGAGCTACTGCCCATTCCAGTACCATGGACAGCCCATCTTCCCCAGCCTTCCAGGGGTCCTGCCACAAGGTCCAGTACCCAGTCTGGGCTTGTGGAGGAAAAGCCCAGCCTCACCAGTGGAGCTAACCCACTTCTGCAAGGATGTGGACAATCCAGGGCCCAAAGTGTACAGACCCGTGGTTCTGAAGCCTATTCCCACTAAACCAGCCATGCCTCCGCCCCTCTTCAATGTCTTCGGCTACCTCTAGCTGGATGGCCTTAGCCCCCTTTGTTGGCCTGCAGGATGGGGTCTCTGATAAGCTCTCCAAGTGAGAAGAGAGCAGGGCAGGGGTCTAGCCGGGCTGCTTCAGGGAGGGGGCTCCTCAGCCAGGCATCTATTCGACTCTTGCAGTCTATGGGGCCAGGCACAGGAGCCCTTCCCCAGGAGACACGCCTCCCTATCCCTGTGGAGACCATGGGCAATGGGACCCTAGTCTGTTCAGCTGCCATCTGCTGGGGGGTGGGGGAGGGCATCTCACTTGTTCTTTTTGTTCTGTGTAAATATTGAGAAAGTTAAAAAAAATAAAGATTTTTTTTTGCAGTTTCTACCTCTTGGGTGTCATGAAGTGGGTTAGTTTCCAGATGCAGGGTCGATATAGAGGATGGCTGCAGGAAGGGGTGGCTTGTAGCCTCTGAGATATCTGGAGATGGGTGCTGAAGGCCATGGCTCAATTCATAGGAAGCAGGTGGGAAGGGATGGGGAAAGACCTTGGGGAAGGATACTTGGTCCAGACATCTGCAGAAAGAGGTGGGCGAAGTCTGGATCCAGTGGTTCATAGTGCTCTGTCCTAGGGAGGTAGAGCTATAATTTTGGTGTGCCTGCACCTTAGGCTGTGCCAGAGTAGCCATGCAAGATCCTGGTCTGAGATAAAATCAGAACAGTGAGATTTCAGTTTCTTGTGACCAAACTGTCCCTTTTAAGCATGAGCGTGGTTATATGTCCACAGTGAATCAAATCAAAGCAAAACCCAAACCCCAAGCCCTAAAGCCACAGCCTCTAACTAACTCCCATCCCAGTTTTCTGCGGATTGCTCTCAGCCACGTGTCAATGAAATGTGAATACCTCTGCCTGTGGCTGGATAGACGTGCATATTGGGGACAAAGACCCAGGCTTCCCCTGATAGTTCCCAGACGGCAAGCTGCTGAGTTAAGTGGCTTCCTGAGTAGCACTGGCCTAGGCACGCTCTAGTGTGGCTGGGCTACACGGTATCATCAAACCAGGATCTTTGCAACCAGGTCTGGTGCTGGGCCAGCCTCTGCTCCCCACATAGGGGATTCCAATAGTTTGTGCCCATCCCTTCTGCTATCTCCTTCATGGCCTGCCTCTGAGCAAGCCCTTAGCTAACTGCACATCCAGGATTCGAGGCTGAACATGGCCCTTTGGTCCTAGCCTACTCCCCCAACCCCGCATGTCCCACCAGGGAGTCTACCAGAAGTGCAATTGGCCAGGGAAAGGTGGGCAGTATTCCAGGATTCTGAGGCTTTCTGTCCAAAGCATCAGACTTCAGCATCATGGATGCTAACACGGCAGAGTTGTCCTAAGTCATTTTCTGGCATGTGGAAGGGGCAGGTCTTTAGCCTATGCTCCATCTTAGAAAACACAGAGGGACCAGGAGCAGGTGTGTGCCCTCTCCTACCCAAAAGCATCATCACCAAGAACGCTTGGACCCACGCAATGGTTCTCAGTCTCCTCCAAGCTATACAGCATGGGCCTCAAAGCTCTGGTCCTGTCACCTACTGATCAAGTTACTTGTCTATGCTGAAATTTCCTCACCCAAAAATGTGAGATTGGACATAGACCGGCCACATGGGCTGTTGTTTACATGGAAGTCTGACTTCTGTTATTACATAAAGTTGTCTCCCACACTTAGGCACCCAGAGGTCCTTGCGGGCTGGCAGAGTAGAACTACTCACAGATCATGTTGTCCACTGCAGTGAGCGCCTTGGACACCCTACCGCCCACCACCCTACTCCTAGAGCAGGAGCACCCCCAGAGCCATACATTCTCAGGGGCTGCTGAGCCCCACCCACCATGACTAAGTCCTGGTCCTACACCAGCCTTTTTCTATAGGGGCTCAGCTTCCCCAGTGGCACCTGTAGATCCATTCCTTCAAAAGCCAGAAGGCTTCATTTAAAATCAGAAACAGGAACTGGAGAGATGGCTCAGTAGTTAAGAGCACTTGGTTTGATTTCCAGCATCCACATCAGAAGGCTTAGAGCTGCCTATAATCCGACACCAGGGCACCCGATACCCGTGGGTTCCATGGGAAGCTACACACACGATGCACATAAACTCACACAGCTTTGCACACGTAAATAAACAAATCTTTAAGAAATAAAAGCAGAAACCTTTAATGGAACGCGACCCACACAACAGGGACCCGGGGTACCAGTCTCCTTCATATGGGAAGCAGCTACAGGGAGCACACTGCTCATCTGGGAGACTTGAAATTGGAGAGGGAAAAGCAGCCTTAGTGGCAGCAGGAGATACACCTCCAACCAAAGAGCAAGGCGTGAGCTGACAATGTAGCTCAGGTAGATAGAGAGCTTGGATAACGTGCACAAAGTCCTGGGCTTGAATCCATCATTGAAAAAGAAATAAGTAGCAGAGAGGGAGGAGAACAAAGAAAGAGTGAGATCAAGTTGTGTTGGTGTGGCTCCGAGCAAAACCCGAAGCCAGTACAGGGGCTCCCTTTTGCTCAGTCTCCTGCTCCTACCACGAGGGCGAGCATCCTCATGCTCATGCGTTACGACTAGGGCCAGACTTCCAAAAGGCAGTTTGTGATACTGTGTGACATCTCTAAGGCAGGCACCCTGGCTGGGTTTGGTGGCACAATGGAGTCCAGAGTGGCAGTCAAGCACTCAGGCCTCAGGCCAGATTTAATATTTGGGAGTTGGAACACACTTAGCAGCTTCCTCTGTACCTTTGAGGCTAAGCATCCCCAGGACAGAGGATGCAAGGTTCCCTCTGGACTTGCTCCAGTGAAACATCAAGGGATGCAACCAAACACAAAACTAGAACCAACCCCACAGGGATTTGTTGTGGATGCTCAGGCAAGTGCCTTCCCCTTCTCAACCTCTATCTCATCATGACCTTGCGGGTATAGACAAGATGCTGCTTAGCCCCCCAGAGCCCAAGAGGCTTTTCCCCTTCATGCACAGAAAACATTGAAAAACTGGTGCAACTCCAATGAAAACAGCATGTGCTGGGTCTCAGCTTCTGGGCCTCAAAGCCCTTTGATTAAGGGCGATGACCGTGCCGAGCCTCAGCACTCACCTGCAAACGGGACACCTGCTCCCACCTTCTCTCACAGGAACATGATGGCCAGGGCTCCTGTGCTCTCCAGACCACCATCTCTCCAGGTCTGGATTGCTTTCCTGACTATTTCTACTTCTGTAGCAAACAAGGCGTGAGAAGGAGGATCAGGGAATGTGCAAGACAACCCCAGGTATCAAGAGGACTCGTAGGCATGGATCCACCACTAGTGATGGAGCTCTGGTTTCCATGGTGATTGAACTAGGAGAAGAAACCGAATGGCTCTCTACTGGTCCATGAAGGACATACCCTCATGAGTCTTTCTTTGAAAGCCCAACAAAGGGGGCTCTGCATACCCTATACCTAGCCTCTGCTCAATCCTACTACTGCCAGGAGCAAGGCTGAGACCCCAGGAGCAGCTGAGAACCTCGGGCCTGGAGAGTCTGAAGGGAGGAACGTCACAGGGCAGAAAAGTAGTACGCAACATTTATTTTACACAATGAAGCACTCAGACTGAGGGTTTCCCACCCCCAGCCTGAAAGCTCAGAGTCCAGTGAGGGACTTACAGCCAGACCAGGTAATTCCAGGCAGGTGAACTCATTCCTAGAGTTCTCCAGCTGAAGGCCAGGATTCCTGCCTGGACCACCTTTCCCAGACCAGCTCTGCCCTGGCCCCAGGTCAAAGGTCTCTGGCAATGCCAAATGGCAGACAGGCAGGTCTGTGAGTCATTCACAGTTTGAAACTGGAGGTTCCTCGCCTACTCCACACACGGACTCTCACTTTGGGCGAAGCTCGTACAGGGAACCAAGAGCACACTTGGCAGCCTCAGTCTGACCTCAGGTGCGTCTGGATGCCGGCTGCCTGAGGTGTCACGAAAACAGTCATATCCTCGCTAGCTGGTTACTGTGTGTTTTCGTATTTCAGGTATCTGATTAGCCGGCCTGGGAGCGGCAGTGTGTCCAGCAGTTTTATCCGGTATTTTCCTATGGCCTTCCGAACCTGCAGCCGACAGAGGTGAGCCAGAGGTCTTGGAGGTTCTAGAAAGAGGAGAAAATGGATGGGAGATGGACACTTGTCATTCGTACTGAGCAAGGGGTGTGGCCAGTGAGTTCAGCCAATGATGAGGCTAAGTCCAAGAGGGGTAGGTACTTGCTGTTGGGAACTTCAGTCCCCACAGTTGGGACTAGCAAAGTGCCTTTCTACCTTCAACCTGCACAGATCTGCACAGACCAAAGTGGTCGAGGTAAACGCCACACCCACTTCCCAGGTAAGGCTACTCGCCCCGCCCAGGATGTCCTTGGGACTCAAGCTTACAACCCCGTCTTTTGATTCTTCTCTTCACACACAACTTGGATCCCCAAACAGCCTCAGCAATTGGTCAGAATTTGACCTCTCAGGCGTCCCCTGAGGAACTTAATGTGGGGCTCCTGCTATCACTGAGAAGGCAGATGAAGCAGACAGCCTGACAGCAGAACTAGGGGACTCCCTGCAGGCTGTAGACTCCTACTTGGTTGTTCCCGGACACCCCTGGATACCTTATGGTCTGGCGTTTGCTCGGTTTGGGGGTGGGGATGAAGAACGGCAGAAGGGTGCATCTGGTAATTGGGTAATTTATTTGGGCACGGGGAAGTAGCTTGTTAACTAAAACAAGTCATTCATTCATGCATGATCCATCCATCCGTTCAACAAACACATGCTGGGCCAGAGATGAAGCGGCACCTTCTGGAGGATATGGAGAAGGTTCTGCACCTCTGAGAGGGGTCCGGAGGAATGTTCCTCATGAGGAAAGCCAAGGCATTTCCAGTAGGGAAGATGGCAAATGCCTGCCTAGCCCAATTGCAAGACCTCAAGACACTCTGGGGTTTCTGACAAATACCTGGTGTCCCTGCCACTTCTGACATCAGGGCCTGAGCCTCTGTCTAGGAAGGTAGGGCCTTTTCTGTGGAGAGGGAAGCAGGTAGCCCAAGACCCAGAAGTCTGGGCGGGGGGGGGGGGGGGGGGGGGGGTAGCCTGTTTTCTCCACAACACAATGATGTCGACCTCAGAATACCTAGTGCAGGAGTGGGTGGAGAGCGAGCCAGAGAGAAATGGCTTTAAAGTAACCAAGGCAGGCCTGAGAACTGTGTACCACCTGTTCCCAAGTGCTCACTACAGTCCTCTGCCCCTGGGGCCGAGTCTAGATGTGAGAGACGGCCCCTTTCTAAGGCCTGCATCTGGGTGTGGCTCACTCCACCCTCTGGTGGTCAGGGATCATGGTGGCAGCAGCCAGTGACTTGGTTAGTGAAGGATTATGACATTCTCTATAGCAGCGACTGAGTAGGTGGTAGATAGATGACCCCTGTCCCCTGCTGCTGCTACCCTACTTGTCAAAGGAATCAGCTGAGAGTTGTTCACCCAGATGTGTGCCCAGGGAAGATCCTATGGTAGTTAGGGCTCAAGGGTACCGGTGGGATCAAGGAGGAATTGGGTGCTAAGGATGGGAGCAGTCTTGGTGGTATGGTGATAACCTAGCACAGACCAGTCCCTGTGTTACCTGCCTGGCAGACATTGCCTCCTGGGCCCAGGCAAGCCAGGCTTTGTCATCTAGTGCTGGAAGGGTTGGGGCCGTGAGCCTGCCTTCTTTCTCTATTCAGGGGTGAGAGACCATTCTCACAGCCACCCCGTGGCCCTACAAAGGCTACTCCAGATGACCTGCAGAGCATCAACTCTTGTGTGCCCGAAATCTACTGGGAATGCAGGCTCCAGATCTGCACAAAGGAGCTGCCCATCGGATAAGATCTGGGTGCTGGGCAGTAGATTCACAGCTCCCTCCGGGTACCAGAACTATTTCAAACAGCCTGAAGTAGGGAGTAACGTTACCAGGCCTGGGCTGGCATCTACCTAGCTATGTGACTTTGGCAGAGCAGGGCCGGGCACAGCCTGTACTGGCATGGGTCACACCGCCTGAAGTCTGCGTCTCCGTGGGACGGAGGCTATGCTGGCAGCAGCAGCCACAGCCCTACCTGCCTTCTCCTTGATGACGGCCCAGTCCTCAAAGCTGTCAATGTGCTCCTTCAGCCGGGAGCACAGCTGCACATTGCCTACGTAGTCCAGAAGCACGTCGATGATGGGTCCAGCCCAGCGGCTCACTTCCGGGGCCGACAGGAGCTCGCAGAACTGAAAGAGGAACACAGCACTCTTAGGTGATGCCAGAGAGGATCTGACCAGGTGCCTTCTACGAACTCCTCCTCTTAGTGTGGTCCTCTCAGCACGGGCATCTGTCACCTGGCATGCGAGACAGATGAGTCGGGCTGGTCCCTCACTTCTCTGAGTTTCGACTTCCTTTCCTATAAATTGTGCATACGGCATTCATTCCAAGGCAGTTTTTTAAAAAAAGAATATAAACTCTTTTGTATATTTTAATTTATTATTATTTTGGACTGAGAATGAACTACCGCATCATTCAGTGCTCTCTGACAGATCAAATCCCTGGCCCTCTTTTATACTTTATTTTTCAAAAGTTATTTTATTCTTTTGATTATCTGCACACATGTGTGTGAACATATGTATGTGTGCAAGTGTGCTCCCACAGGGCAGGGGATTCCCTTGGAGTTGGAGCTACAGGTGGTTGTGAGCCACCCATGGTGGGTGCTCAGAACCCAACTCCAGTCCTCAAGAGCGTCCCAATACACTACTGAGCCATCTCTCCGGGCTCTGTTTTGCTTTTTTGAGATAGGCTCTCACTAAGTTGTTAAAGATGACCTTTAAGTTACTCTGCAGCTGGCAGACTTGCAGTCCTCTTGCCTCTGGGGTTACAGACAGGCCTACATCACCTGGTGTGAGCAATGGAGTCTGTCCCTGATGCTCACCACAGGTTCATTCTCCCCCTGCCATAACCACTAGCCCAACCTGCTTCGGAAGTACGGTTATCAACCTGCCCTCCCTTCCCTGTCACCGGCCTGTCCCTGCCCCCCTCCCCATGCACCTGCACCACACTGGGTGCCTTGTCGTCCACTGGATGGAAGGTGCCGAGTCGTTGGGGAGGCGGGTGCGGCCCGTTGCCGTACATGCAGGAGAAACAGGACTCGCCATCACAGCCGAGGTCCATGAGGAACTTGAGCAACGAAAGGCACTTTATAGCAAACATGATGGTGGCGGGGAAGGTGGTGGGGTGCGTGGCGATGTAGGCGTCGATGTTGGCGCCATGGTCCAACAGGAGCTGCATGGTGCGCAGGCAGCCGTGGCGGATGGCCACGAGAAGGGGGCTGATGATGTCGCAGTTGGGGTCGGCACCCGCCAGCAGCAGCAGCTCGGTGGCGTACACGTTGTTGTTGACCACGGCGAAGTAGAGAGCAGAACTCCGGCGGTCCTCGTAGAGGCGCGAGCGCTCGGGCGCCAGAGGCGCGTTCACGTCGAAGCGCGCGGCCAGCAGCACCTCCAGCACAGCGTCGTGGTTGCGCTCGGCCGCCAGGTGCAGCGGGCTAATGCCGCTGCGACGCACTCGCGTGCGGCTGGTCACGGGCAGCAGCATCTGCACAATCCTGTGGGGACAGCCGGGCACACGCGGGTCAGGAGACTGCACGCGTGTGCATGGCCTGGCCAGCAGAGGGCGCCTAGAGGCCAGCCATGCTCAGTTGGCCTGTTCTAGTCACAAAGCCAAAAAAGGGTGGAGCTGGCTGGTGAGTTCTGGATAAACCTCAGCCAGATGGTCTATGGTTTAAAGCACCTCTCGTGGACTCCAGCCTAAATAAAGGATGCTTGTGGATGGAGAGGTGATGGCTTGGAGGTTAAGAGCTCTGGATGATCTTCCAGAGGACCCAGTTCGATTCCCAGCACCCACGGGGCAGCGCACAACCGTTTGTAACTCCAGTTCCAGAGAACCTGAAACACTCTTCGGATGACTACGGGTACCAATCATACACGCGGTACGTGAACATACATGCGAACAAAACACCGATCCACTAATAATAAAGACCGTGGCTCCCAGGAATCCGATGAAAGTGGCAGGAAGCCCCCGCACACCCACTGAAAGCCCACACTACTATGCAGGAGTAGTAGAGTTGGGTGCTGAAATCTGGTACCAGACCCTACCCTGGATGGGAAGGAAACACTGAGAATCTGGTTTGATCGTTATGAGAGCCCATAAAGCATGTCTTGTTGCCCCCACTCCACAGATGAGAACAATTGAGGCTTCGAGCAGTTAAGGAACTTATACTAGGAGGGGCATTTTGGGACTGAATTGTCTTTCTTCCCTCTCCTGCTACACTGGTAGCTGATGGAACCTCTAGACGTGGTGAGGGGAGGCATGGAGCCAGAAAGGGAGAAAACTCTCAACCACTCTGTCCCCATGTCCTTCATTCTCCTCTCCTAACAGATGCAGTTTTTCTCCTGGTGTGTCACACCTGTTTTTAAAGTCCCTTTGCCCACTTTTGACAGGGAGAGCTCGGCCAGCCACCACCAAGGTTGGAGCTCCCACCGTCCTGGCTTCCGGCCACTGGATCGGGCTCTGATCTCAATACTCCACCTACAAATCTTCATAGTTCTCCTAGGGGACCTTTGAGACTGTATTTGTAAGAGTCTTTGACTTCCAGAGAAGGAAACCCAGAGAAGGTACAGAATTCCCAAGGACACACAGCCAGGAAGTGAAACCGCCAAGATTTGAATTCAGATTGTCCGATCCTTTAGGCTACGCTCTTAACTACTCTCCCACTTCTGCTGTAGCAATCAGGGTGACAGCTGATAGGTCACGGGGTTTTACAATTCTCACAGCGCATTAACTGGCCTGGTCCAGTTTACCCTCACTGTAGCCCTATGGGGTATCCAGAGCAAGCTTTGTCTATCTTTTTTAACAGACATTGCTCAGAAAACCAGCGACGAACTAGAGGTCATAGGATAAATAGCTCTAAGGCTTTGACCCAAGACCCCTTCATCTCAGCTCTTGACCCCAGGACCCCTCATCTTGGCTCTTGTTTCCTGGATCCCTGCCACCTTCTAGAACAAGCACTTACACTGTTGATTTCAGTCCCTGATTCATCCAAGCTGACAGGTGACCTCACAGCCTCCCTGTGGGGGCTCTAACGAGGTGGCCATGTTGGGGAAGGGGGAGGGGAAAGCAGGTGCCACCAGGCCAGTTCCCATGTCTCTTGTTTCCTGGCACTGCCCTTGCCTCTGACTTCCTGGAACTGGGATGCCAGCGACCTCCTGCTGGACTCTCCAAGGGCAGCAGTGTTATCATCAGTGATGCTAAGTTTGGCTCAGATCTGCCTCAGAAACCTCAAAAGGAAATTCACACACTCAGGGGAGCTAATTGCCTCCTAATTTTTATTTGTGCAGGCTCCAGGGGCTTGACCTCCTCTTCAGAGGTGCTGGTCAAAGGCAGGGCTGGGGCCTCTGGACCACCGCCATGACCAACAAATGCAGGGTAACAGCCGTGACGCGCCCAAGCACGGGAAAGAACAGGGACAGGGGCGGGCTGGGCGGCTGGCCCATGGGCTGGGATCTCTGCAGGCCCCAGCTGGTCTCGAGTGATTCCCTGCCCAGGCCAGGAAAAGGGGCAGGAATGTGGGAACTTGACAATATCTGTCCTGGGTCCCAGAAGCATCCAGTCAGCAACTCAGTGAGTCATCGGGTCAATGGTTACTCCACTAGGACTGCAGCACTGAAGGTTGCTGTGCTGGGCTGGGCTGACCAGCTGCTAAAGAGAAAAGGACAGCGCTGCCATTTCAGAGGGTGAAAATGGAGACCCCGGACTGCAGCAGGGACTAAAATGGGTCTGGATAAATACAGGCAATATGCCAGGGCAGAGTGGAGGCGCTGGGTGAGACCCAGGGCCAGGACTTTCTGTGGCACCCCACACCTCGTTTTAATTAATTACGTTTTTGGTCTCTTGTGAGCCAGGCTGGCCTCAAACTCACACATAACCATGAATGGCCATGAACTTCTGATCCTCCTGCCTCTACCTCCCAAGGGCTGACATTTACAGGAGTGTGCCACCATGGAGGGGCCCCATGTGGACAACCCATTAGGCAGATGGCTCTCCCCTACCAGGTCATTTTGTGGGGCTAATAGGCTGGATTTGCTGACTTCTCCCAGAAAGTCAAACAGACCCAGCACAGGGCTGTTTCTGGGAGGCCCTGGCAGCATCTAGAAAGACTTCACAGGCAGCTTGGCAGTCTCTGACTTGGGACCTCAGTCCAGGCCCCCTTAGTATTAAAATCCCCCTCTCGTTGCCCTAGAGCTGGGGTCCCGGTAAAGACGCTAACTGCTCCAGCGCGCGCACGTGTGCGTGTGCGTGTGTGCGTGCGTGCGTGTGTGTGTGTGTGTGTGTGTGTGTGTGTGTATGTGTAGTCTTTCCCTGACTGCTGACCTGAGTGCTGATGGCTTGCTTTAGCCCCGCCCAGGAGCAGTGAGGACACGTTCAAGTTAGCTGTCATTGGGGGAAAGGGTGTTGTGGGACAGTTTAGACAACAAGGAAGTACCAGGCTCAGAACCAGCTGGACCCGCTTCACGCTGGGTCATCTCAGGCAGGGCACTAACCTCTCTAAGCCACACCTATTAGACCAAATCATGATACAATGACAATGACGCCTACGGCTACCCTTCACTGAGGCCCGGATGCTAGACACACTTCACCTCCTCTAAGTCTCAATGAATACGTCACCCGAGCACTGTTGGGGTCAGTGCCCGGCTTCCAATCTTCACAGCCACTCCTATGACTCAAACATGACTCCATGGGCTGAGCATTCTCATCTTCTTTATTCTTCAAACGCCCTAGCAAGGTGGGATTTGTACCCACACTGCAAAGCAGGACCTCGCCATCTTGTTCACCAAGCCTGCTTTGGAGACTCAGGAAACACCTCACACCTCAGTCTGAGCAGCACACAGTAGGCATGCACTTGGGATGCAGTTGGAGGTCAGTGTCCAGAGCACAGTGACAGCGCTCATGCCCTGCTGCTCCAAGCCAGAGGAGACCTGAGTCAAAAGGTCATGGTGGCCTGACCCTTGTCAGCATTCACCCTGTCACATGAGAACTAGCCACCGCCGCTACCAACACACTGAGCCATGCTGCCAATCCTGGCATGTGTGTAACACATATCACACACGTGCAAAACGAATATTTAACGATGGTGGGTCAGACGTGATCACCAAAATACAAGCCTGTGTCTTCTATTGGTCACAAGAGAGGTGGTAAGCTCCTGGAACTCACTCAGGCACCATGTAGAAACCCTGGCACCCTGTCCCAGGCCCACCCAATGCCGTAAACTGGTCTAAGGTGGGGCCTATATCCCAGCTGAGCAGCTGAGGTCGGGAACCCCTGCTTCCAGGGTCCTTGGTCACATTCTTGTCCCGCTCACCAGGTCTTTGGAAGTCTACCCATGCTGCTGGTCTTCCACTCATAAAGTCCCAGTACCACACTGGAACTGGACAGCAGAAAATGTGCCCTCAGTGACTGAGAGGTAGGGATGCTAGGCTCCTCTTTCAGCCATGCCCCAGTACTCCTCACCCTATGTGCTGAAGAACAGACACATCTGGCTAATGGCCGCATGTCCAGGCACTGTACTCCCGACCCTGGTTAGGCAGTGCTTTGGCAGGTGGCTGAAGGCCTATGGAATGCCACATCAAATCCCTGCTCAGCTGTGGGAGGCCAGTGCGGGGAGGGCCTCTAATGCCACATGCCCAGAGTGTGACCAAAGAGCCATGGCCCAGCCAGGTGGCAGAGGCTGCCGGGGATCCAACTTTAACCCCTCGCTGGACAGCCCTTGGGAAACTGGTTGTGTATGCAGATGGCTTACAGGGAAGCCTGACTTTCCAAGGGACAGCATAGGTGCCTGGAGCCTTTGCTTCTTTTTCTGAGGATGTCCCTCTCCCCCTATATACCTTCTGCCTTACTGACAACGCCAAACACAATCCATTCTCTTTCTTCTGGCAGCCTGAGTAGTTAGAACATTTCCCAGTTTGGCATCCCAGGTACATGGCGGGGGTTTTCTAATAATGTAAATCATCTTTCCACTACACCACTGTGGTTAATGTTTCCTTTGAAAACCATTCAAAGAAAAAAAGATGTATTTTAAAAACTGTCTTTAAAAAGTAATAAAAATTGTCTAAAATGGAAAGAAACTTGCCAGGGTCCACAGTTGGGAACCACCCAACCAATAGGAAAGTGTCTGACCTCTGGGGCTTTAGTGCGAGGCCTGGGGGCTGGCCCTCTGAGGCACAAGGCTCTTAGCTACCTGGTATCAGTTTCTTTTTTTTTTTTTTTTTTTTTTTGGTTTTTCGAGACAGGGTTTCTCTGTGGCTTTGGAGCCTGTCCTGGAACTAGCTCTGTAGACCAGGCTGGTCTTGAACTCACAGAGATCCGCCTGCCTCTGCCTCCCGAGTGTTGGGATTAAAGGTGTGCGCCACCATCGCCTGGCCTGGGTATCAGTTTCTTTTTTTTTTTTATAGTTACCATTTTTAATCCATGGGTATCAGTTTCTTGTACTGTAAAAGAAGCCATCATGGCAGACCTGTATCTCAGAGCTCGGCAATGAGACCACTCTTTGGAAATGATCAAAGTGTCCTCAGGAACAACCAGCATCCCACCTGCCAAGCCTCCTTTCCCACCCATGTGTGAGTGGGAAATTATTAGCAATGGTCCCTTGGTCAAGTGGGGTGTTGGAGGTTCCAGAGAGAAGCTTACTCCATGGTGTGTAAATGTCCACCATGGTCAGTTTTATGCTACCAGAGAGGGGAGCAAGCATGTTGTCAGGACGGTGCCAGCAATGGCTTTGCGTTCTGCCTCGGTGCTTATCAGTGCCTTTCTACTGGGGCCACCAGGCAACTTAGGTCTGGATGCTCTGGGGTGTGTGTCTGTGTGTGTGTGTGTGTGTGTGTGTGTGTGTGTGTGTGAGAGAGAGAGAGAGAGAGAGAGAGAGAGAGAGAGAGAGAGACTGAGTGTGCACACCTTCCCCTCCTGTAGATTGTTTCTAGAGAAGTTGAGCTTCTCCCACCGAAACATGAAGTGCAAGGAGAGGCCCAGGGATTGGTCCCTCTGCATTGCTGTAGGCATCCCCGGCCACTTGCTAGAATGTCCTGCAAGCTATTTCTGCATCCTCCCACCCCAACAACAACAACAAACCAGTCATAAAGTCAGATTCCTCTCTGCTCCCTAAGTAGGATTAGCTGGGTTATTTGGAGCAGGTAAATTCCTGCCACCTACAAGTTGTGTGACTTTAGACCAGTCATCAACCTCTGTTGATCTTAGCCTTCTCATCTTAACAAAAAGAAGTCACCATGGCCTCCACCTCAGCAAGCCCTTGAGAGGATGAGCTGGCCATGTAAGCAGTGGTAGGAGCACACACCAAGCTTGTGCTCTTGTTAGTATGGTGGTAGTCACACGGGGTCACTGCATCCCTCCACAAGGAGAGTGTCCTTCACACTGATAGCCTCTGGCCTTCCTGCCCTTGCAGGCAGACTCAAGCAGGTGCCCTGCCCCACCCTGCCTTCACTGGGCATCCCTAGAGAACTGTGTTGTGTATGGCGATGGCGGTCCCCGGACTGACCTGTAGTTGCCCTTCTTGGAGGCAATATGCAGAGGAAGCAGGCCATCCTTGTTGGCTTTGTTGGCGTCAGCGCCCTGCGAGAGAAGAAACTCTACCACGTCTTCGTGCTCATTCTTGCAGGCCTCGTAGAGGGCCGATGCGCTGTCACTGGCCTGCGTGTTGATGTCTGCTCCTGGAGGGGAAGAAGCAGAGCCGTGAGTGACCAGCAATTCCGCCGTAATTCAGTGCCACTGTGGTGAGCACCTCTGAGCTAACCGCTGTCTGCTGCACCATGCCTATACTGTCTAAATCCACAAGGAACCCTGGGATGTCCAAGCTAAGCTAAGTTTTTTTTTCATCACAGAGCAACACCTACTCTGTTTCTCTGTATTCATATAGAAATCTGGGTGGTCAAAGCTTACCTTAGGGTAAGCTTTTCGTCACAGCCCAGGATGCGGGGCCTGAAAGGACCCAGGATGAGCCTCTCATAGATGTGAAACCAAACCTGAACCCACATGGTCAGAGAGTAGAGACCAGGCCTTCAGCTCTCACTGTGGAAGGCCCTAGGCTGTGCCCTCACAGCGGCCTCCGCTACAGCTAAGCACAAAATTCCCAAAGGAAACCCCATTGGCTTTGTTAGTGGAGTTTGGGTTTGATGGATAGTTGGCCGATTTATCAGTCTGAGGTATCATCTCATGTAAGCTGGCCTTGAATTCTGTAAGTAGCCAAGGACGACGTTGAACTTTTGATCCTCCTGTGTCTAACTCTACAATGCTGGGGTTACAGGCACATACCAGCACACTAGCGTGTACAGCGTTAGAAACTGGCCCTGGGCTCGTACAGGCTAGGCAAGCACTCTACCAAGGGAGTCACGTCCCTGGGTGTGGAGGTTTGTGTTGGTCTCCAGGAGAAACAAGAGAGAAATGGCTTCCTTGCTCCTCGTAAGCTTATCTGAGCAACTGGAGATATGGCTCAGTGGCAAAGATTATGTCCTGCTAATAGAGGGGACCCTGGGTTCAGTTCCTAGCACCCACATAGCCACAACTATCTGTAGCTCCAACACCAATGGACACAATGCCCTCTTCTGATCTCTCTAGGTACTTACACTCATATACTACACACATATACATCTTACTACACACACACACAGACACACACACACACACGCAATGCACACGCACACCCTTTTAAAAAAAATAGTAAAAGTAAATTTTAAAAAAGCAAGGAATCCCTGAGCCACGCTGGCTAACTAACGCCTGGTGGCAGCCTGCCTTCTTCTCAGTCTTTTACATCTTCTGCCTCCCATGGAGTGTGAAAGAGAACCAGCGTGCATATGACTCCCCTGCAGAGGGAAGTAGGCCTCATGCTGCAGAAGCAGACGAGCTGATGTGGCTCGTGAAGGCTGAGATCAAAGCCTTGTACCAACCACAGCTCCTCTCAGAGCCCTGTGCTCGCCTCAGCCTTTCAGATGACTTCATTTTCAACAGCGGTGGAAATCTCTCTGGCCTTGAGAAAACGGCACAAGCCTCAGCGGTCCATTGGGACCGTTCAAATCTTGTTTCATGACTCCCAAGTTCTGGGGTCCCAGATAGCTTTTAAAAGCCTCAGTTTACCTTTTGTTGACCAAGAATCATGGTCCCACTTTCTCATGGTTACTATGAGACGTAAATAAGATCATAGAATCATAGTACCAGGCTCACAAGCTGCTCAACCGATGCCAACTGCCTGGACAGAACTCAGGACAGAGACTGGCCCTGCCCTTCCCTCAGAGGGAGAGTCCAGGGGTACCTTCAACAAGCCTCTGAGCCTTGGAGTCAGGCCCCCCAGTAGGCCTAGGCTTGCCAGCAAAGCAGCATGCTCAAACAAGGAAAATATTTGTGTAGGAACTGGCTTTCGACCCCCATGAAGGGAGCAGTCCCTGACTCAGTGTCGGCAGGGGACAAGACAGCTGCCTGGAGAGGGGAGGCCCCCTCACCCACTGTGCCCTTGCATGGCCTGCTGGCCTGGGTTCCAGGACTCCGCCTTGGCCTCTATGTTCTCAGAATGTTCACTGCAGATTTATCCCTGACTGCGAGCCTCATTCTGTCCTGACACACACTATGGATGTGACCTCTTGTCCCATCAAAGGCCCAGGGTCGATATTCTAGGCTGAGACCGTGTGGAACAGTGAAGGCTGAATGCAGACACAAGTCGGGATTCAGGCTCTCATAGTGAGCAGTCACTTAGCCTCTAAAGCCTCAGTCTCCCCATGTGGAGCTAGGACGATGCCCACCTCACATTCCACCCATTATAGGTCCATGCTCGGCAGGAGGTCTGACACACAGAAGGTCCTCACCAATTTTCTTGCAGCGCAGCTCCAAGGTCTGCATAGTCTCAACCTCCCCAGTGTTCAAAAGGGACCTTTCTTTCATTAGGAGTGAAAAGAAATCCCAGGGGCATGTAGGGGGAGTTGTCAAAATACAAGCCATGGTCTTGAGGTTTTTGCTACTGGAACATCATGGTACAAGCAGTACTATTTTAACTTCCCCAGTTAAGATTTTTCATGGGAAATTAGGGTAGAGACCTGAGTTCAGACCCCTTGTCTGTCACTGACTTACTGTGTGACCTTGGACAAATGCCTTTCCCACCCTGACCTTTAGTTTCAATCACGTGCAAAGCAAGGATGCGATCTCCATCTGAGGTCTTCTGGCCCCACAGTGTGACGTGGCAAAAAGGAATAGTGGTAGGGGCATCAAGAGTCCAAGAATCTAGATAGTTCTACAGCTAATTCTGTAGATAAGTCACTTCCTCTTTCCAGGCCTCAGATTCCTCTTTTTTGAAAGGAGGATGTTATTCTGGATCAGATGCTGGTTTGTAACTGTAAGCATGCTAACAGCACCTCCACTGAACCTGAACACAGCTTCAGACTGCTCAGCACAGCTCTGCAAGGCCCCGGATTGAGAGAGCACCCCCAAGATGACCCCAACATAGCTTTCCTTCCCAGGTGACCTCCGAGGCCCTTGCCAGCTGTGTCGCGTGACCACTCACCATGTTTGGCCAGGAACCTCAGGGCCTCCAGCTGCCCACTCTGGGCAGCCACAAACAAGGGAGTGATGCTGTAGACATTCTTGGCCTCCACCTTGGCCCCACCGCTCACCAGGATCTCCATGGCCTCCAGGTCATTGCGGGAGACAGACTCATGCAACGCTGTCCAGCCCCGGTTGCAGCGGTGGTTGGTGTCTGCGTTGTATTGCACCAATATTCTCACTGCCTCTGCATTCTTCCGCTCACAGGCTGGACCAGGCAGAAGACAGACAGTCAGTGTGGTCCTGGAGATATTTGGCAGTCGGCTGGGTTAATCCTCCCAACTGCCCCTGAAGAACGCAATGTCAGTACCTACACCAATAGATAAACAGGGTGAAACAGAGTGACTGACACGGGGTCACACCGAGAGTAAATGTCAGAAGTGGGGTTCAAACCCAGAGAGTCATGTCCAGAGACTCTGTCCCCTAGAATATTCTAGAGTATCCATAATTAAAAGGATACTATTATCCTTTTCAAAGGTATATCAGACACTAGGCCTGAAAAAATCTAGACAACAAAAATGCTCATTTAACTCGGGTTAACTCCATCTTTCTCATCCTCCTCAAACCTCTCCTTCAGCTTCTCCTGTCAAAAGACCCTGAAGGTGCCCTTGGCTCTGGCCCATAGTTCTAACCTGGGAGCTATAGAGGGCATTGAAGTCACCAAGGTATATGAGCTCTCTAAACCTGGGGGGGGGGCAGTATACATGGGGAGCATCTGCCTATGGTGTTTCAAGGAGGTTCAGCGCCTCACCTCATAAGCCATGGTGACCTCCCTGTAAACCACATGGCAGAGCCTTCCTGGAGGAGGCTGGGGGATGGACCACAGGAGGCTGGGGGATGGGACACAGGAGCCTGGGGCTTTGGTACATGACAGAACCAAGCTACTGGCTAGAACCAAGCCTACTTCCTATGGCTCTCTTTGGGACAGCTGAGGTCCCAGGTAACCGTTGAGCGTCCCCTAGAAGACCCTTCCATGTCAAGTTCAGGTACCTACTCTCTGGTCCTCACTGCCTACAGAATATTATGTGTACTAGATGCCAAACCCACAGGAGATCTGCCTTGTGTATAAAATGGGACACTAGCAACATATGTTGCTAACATATGGAGGCCTAAGGAAAGTGCTTTGCCCGCTGCACATGCGCTCTACATTACCAGTTAATTATGATGGATTAGCTAGTCAGTGAGACCGGGTCTATTAGTGCAGTTAGGGCACACCTTTGAGGTGGTCCTGAGACAGCCAGGAGGCTTGCTTTGCTTACATCAACATAACAGAGTGCGTATCCCCTCTCCTATCTTCGGGCCTTTGCCCATGCTGTTCCTCAAGCTTGGCCAGCTGGTAAATTCCTTCCTGGGGGGTTCAGGTCAGGCATCCCTCCAAGAGGCACCCACTCCACACATTCCCACCCCACCTCTTGCCAAGCTCTGTGTGCTTGTGCTCTGAGTATGTGCTTACACTTGGTGTAGCCCACAGACACATATCACAGCTTTCCATGCCAAGGTTTCGGTGTCCCTCAGCATGCTGACTCCAGGACACGTGGGAAATATTGGGTGACCCCATGTGCAAGTGCAAGATCAGATTAGCATGCCCCCATGCATCTTGGAGGGGTAGTACCCTCTGAAAAGTGGACCCCTCATTCATGGGAGCAGTCTGCACGCTGCCCGCCTGGCTTCTGGACTCCCTGGTCCATGAGAACCTAGAGACTTACCTTTGTAGAGTGGAGTCTCCCTGGACTTGTTAGAAATGTCCGGCTCTGCCCCCGCCTGTAGCAGCATCAGGAGGCAGTCCAGGTGCTCCCTGCACGTGGCCAGATACAGTGCTGTCTCCTCCTGCAGTGTGCGCTGGTCAATGGCCCCCGGGTAGGCTGGGGAAGAGCAGCAAATCTGTGAACGGAGGCAGCCACACTCCCCGCACGCGTTCTGGCTCCCTCACAGTTCTGAGCAAGGGTGTGGAGCTGCTGCTTCTGAAATCTATCAAGCCCAGGTGGCCTTCGTCTTGCCTCTCATGGTCCTGCTTGGGTTCCTAGCTATAGAAATGCATCTGGATGCCACCTCCTCTGGGAAGCCTTCCCAGGTTGAGCCCCTAGCTCTGAAGTGTCTATTTCTCCCTTGTTCTCTTAGCCACTGCTAGTGCGCCCATATCTCATGTAACTTTTTCTCTTAGCATGGCTGGCGGGAGTGAGGACCAGTCGGTGGCCAAGGCAATACCTGCCTGTTGGTACTATTAATTCTAATCTTTCCGAACAGGAATATGGGATTTGGAGATGAGGCAGGACTCTCACAGGGTCCCACAGTTGGTGGGGACAGCCTTGGCAGTACATAGGCATATTTGTTCTTTCTACTGGAACATTCTGGAACAAGCTGACAGAGACTGTCTCAGAAATCAGTTCTTCCCTGTTTATATTCTAAGAATTAGGTTTTCTTGTCTGAAAGTCATGGAGAGATGCAGCAAAGGCAGGGGCCGGGTCCTGTCCACCCCCCACCGAGGGAAAGCCCCTATCCCTGCTGGCCCTTCAGAGATGGCCCTCACCTTTCTGCAGGATCTTCAGGCAGCCCAGCTGGCCATAGTAGGCCGCCTCATGCAGCGGCAGCCAGCCCTCCTTGTTGGGCTCTGCCAGATTCTTCCCGTCCTTGATCATGACCTTCAAGGCTTCTTCATCCCCTTCCTTGATGGCCTTCAGCACAGGGTCCATAGTCCTGTGGGAGCAAGTGGCAGACTTAGGCAGAGGCTGGGTCAGCGGCCCTGTTTCCTGAGGCCAAACAGGACCTGCTGGAGAGTAGGAGCCAGCTCCTGCCCTGGAGTCCCTCATTCTTGGGTATTCGGTCTATTCTAGGACCAACGCTTCTGCCCTCCGGCTCAGCGGATGTAAGACAACTGGGGTGGGTCCTCTGCAGCCCTGTGACTTTCTGTGGCTGAAGCTAATGTCACACCCAGATATTCCTACCAAGGGGACTCGGGCACAGACAGTGGCTAACAGCTGCGGCGGTGTCTGCAGTAACCGGGGGCCTTTCCCAAAGATGGACCTCTGCTTTGTACCAAGCACAGCTACCTACAGGGCTGAATGACTGCAAGAGCTCCCAGAGGCATGGACCTGCCAAGGCGCCTCCCTTCACCGTCACCACAGCCTTCCCGTCTCCCCATCGAATCCATTATCCCTACTCCCAGCTGCTGCAAAATGACAGTACTTGAAGGATTAATAAATTAGAAGCCTTCACAGTTTAAACCTTCTAAATGTCAATAGATTTCAAGGCTAGAGAGAGGGGCATCTTTGTTTGGCTCACTGAAGGCAAGGTGTCCATTTATTCATTTGCTGGTTCGTCTGTCTGTTTGCTAGAACCCCTTCCCTTACCGAGTCAGTGGGGACCATGACTATTTAGGATCCTGGGATCAGGGGCAATGCTGGCTTCGAGGGGAGTCTCCAGGACCAGCACCCAAACCCTCCCGGCTGCTTCCTCCAGCAGGCAACACTTCCTCCTGCCACTCAGCCTCCGGGTTATTAATAGCAGATGGGTAAAGAGACAGAGACTCAAGGACAAAGGACTAACTAGCCAGCTAGATCCTTAAGGTCCATCAACACCATCACAGCCACCTGCTTGGGTTCCACTCAGGAGCAACCGGATCGAGCCCATCAGTCCCAGGGAGGGCCCCATGGGGTATGTGGCCACTGCTGAAGTGGAAGGGAGTGGGCTGGCTGGTCCTGTGGCCTTCGTCAGGGAGGTTACCACTATGTAATGCTCGCTATCTGACACACCAGCTGGAGTGCGTCTCTCGAGCCGGGGTTCACAGACCCTGGGGCCCTCAGTGTCACACACTGACAGCTTCCCCATGGGCTCAGACAAAGTCCTCACCCCAAAGGGGGGAGGTTGTCAGGCATGTTAAATTACCTAGGATTAGCTGAACAGGGCCTTGGAAGATCACATAGTCCTTTCCAACCCTACCTTGCAGAAAAGGGATGCTGGGGGCAGCCCTCCTGGGGGGACACGTAGGGGCAGGCAGCCGTCTTTGGGGGGACACACAGGGGTGAACAGGCCCTCCTGGGGGGACACGCAGGGGCGGGCATGCCCTTCTTGGGGAGACATGCAGGGGTGGGCAGACCCTCCTGGGGGGACATGCAGGGGCGGGCAGACCCTCCTTCGGGGGACACGCAGGGGCGGGCAGGCCCTCCTTCGGGGGACACGCAGGGGCGGGCAGGCCCTCCTTCGGGGGACATGCAGGGGTGGGCAGGCCCATTTTGGGGGGACATGCAGGGGTGGGCAGGCCCACTTTGGGGGGACATACAGGCAATTGTACTGAGATTAGAACTGGGGCTTTCTTTTGGGTCAACCCCAAAGCCCCAAGGACAATGTGGTGCCTGTAGGATTTAGAGAGGCCAGGAATGAGAACCGGCCAGCTGACTCCTCTTCTCTGCCACTCAGAAATGGGGTCCCACCAAGGGAAACTTTTTTGCTTTTAACTGCCATCCTGGAGTTCAGAACAAGGAGAAAGCATTACCTCCTAACTATAGCATAAGCTCAGTGCCCCGGGCAGAACCCTCTCCTTTGGCTCTGATTAGTCCTGGCCTTTGGCATCTGGCACTAAATAAAGTATTGTGGGTGGGGCTTTAGATGTGCACAGATGAGCCCCTGGAGGTGGCCTGGGGAGATACAAGACAGGGATAAAGAGGACTGGAAGCCAGCACCTCGTTCTTCCCCTGGTCCTTTGACCTTGCTAGGGCCCCAGATGCAGAGCTCCATGGAGCTCCTCCAGCAGCAGGTCACAATCTCTGGAGATAGCTTAGGGGTCAGTCCCGAGCACAGCCTGAATGCCACTCCTAGTGGGCATCAGTCCTATAGCCAGCGCAGCAAGAGCACTGGAACCTAGGGGACACAGCGAGAAGGGGATCTAGGGCTACAAATCTACCCCTCTCCCTGCTGCCCCCATTGGAGGTGTGAGCTTGATGGGGCCAGGTGCAGGGGTCACTTACGCCATCTGGGAGGTCTTGAACAGGCTGCTGCTATACTTCTGCATGACCCCTTGGAACAAGCCCAGGGGTGCTTGGGACGGTGCGCTCTCAGGAGGCGATGACCTGGAGGGTACAGAGCTGGCGTGAAAGAGAGAAAAGTACTCTGCATAGGAGAAGCGGGTCATGCTGGAGGCAGGAAGGAGGATGGAGAGTGAGCCGGGAGAAAGAGTCTGAGTGACAGACAGACACAGGGCTCTGAACCAAAGCAGATGGCCGGGTCCTCTCTGTGTGCTGGACACAGCTGCTGTGTCTCTGGATTATTTTTGGCCCTTGGAGGAAGCCCTTAGAGATTTAAATGACCATATAAGACAACAATGAGGTTAACCTCACCCCGCCCCCACCGCCCCCCTCCTCAGCCAACCACAAGGGAGCAGATATGAAGCAAGGTGACATTCTTTACTGGGGAGGATGTGAGAAGTGGTCGGTGGCAGGAGTCAGGCTGGAAGGCCATGGGGGTCTCGGTGGGGCTGGACAAGAGATTCCTGGGCCAGCAATGGGAACAGGAGAGCCAGTCTGAGAAGCCAAGGCACGTAGCCCTCTCCCTCACCTTGCTGGCTTCTCATAAGAGTACAGTGTGCCCCATAGTCGTCTTGGGACACAGCAGTCTAGAGGGAAACACAAAAGGGTGTGGACGGAAGGTCAGACAGGGTTTCAAATCCGTGTGCTACTTGCTGTGTGACCTGGAGGCAGGCTCGTTTTCTCTGTGCCTCAATTCTCCCATGTACAGTGGTAGGAGAGCATTCCTGTCTCAAGAGCCTGTGAGATGCTTTGCTGGTTCATTCTAGAGCAGTGTCCTTCAAAGGCTCGTGTGTTATAGGCTTGTCCCCAGTGCAGTAGTGGTGTGGCTGGAGGAAGGGATTGGATTTGTTCTCACCCTTGGATTTTGATCCATTGACTGGTTCAGAATTGGATGGTGTGACAGGCAGCTTTAATTGCCAGCTTGGCACAGCCTGGACTCACGTAGGAAGAGAATCTCAATGAGACTGCCTAAATCAGGCTGACCTCTGGGCATGTCTGTGGGTCTTGTCTTCTTTAAGTCAAATTTATGTGTTAAGACCCAGTCCACTGTGGGTGGCACCATTCCCTAGGCAAGAGCCCCTGAACTGTAGGAGAGCAGTGAAGTCAAGATGAGCACAAGCAAGCACAATAGGTGTCCATTTCTCTCTGCTCTTAACCATGGCTGTGAAGTGACCAGACATCTCAGGCTTCCCCGTGGTGGTGGGCTAGAACCCTGGGGGTATAAGCTGGAGTGAACCGTTGCCTTTGTCAGAATATTTTTATCATAGCAACAGAAATGAAATGCGGGCTGGTGGCTCCATGGGGAAGCGGTGGAAATATAGGACCCGAGTTGCAGTTGGCAGGAATGGGTCCTTGGCCCTTGTCTTAGTGAGGGTTTCTATTGCTGTGGCAAAACCTCTATGACTGAAAAACAAGTTGGGGAGGAAAGGGTTGATTTGGCTTACACTTCTAGATCATAGTCCATCATTGGAGGAAGTCAGGACAGGAGCTTTAACAGGGCAGGAACCCGGAGGCAGGAGCTGATGCAGAAGCCATGGAGGAGAGCTGCTTACTGGCTTGCTCCTCACAGCTTGCTCAACCTGCTTTCTTATAGAACCATGACCACCAGCCCAGGAGAGGCACCACCCACAATGGGCTGGGTCCTCTGCTATTAATCACTAATTGGAAAATGCCTTACAGATGGATCTCAAGGAGACATTTCCTCAACTGAGGCTCCTTCCTCTCTGATGACTACCTTGTGTCAAATTGACACACAAAGCAGCCAGCACAGCTCTTTTCTCTTTCTTTCATTGCTTCCTGGCTACTGTAAGGCAAGCAACCTTCTAATCCATGTGTTTCCACCACCATGTTATCGTGCTGCACCGCAGGCCTGTAACATGGGGCTGTTGGCCATGGGTGAAGCCTCTGAAACTGTGGAACTGAGTAAACCCTTTCTCCTTTAATCCATTTCTCTCAAGCTTTAGTCCCCAAGGGCACCTGGCACAGACACAGAGGGGACTCGAGTCAATGCTTCACTATTTTCACTATACTGAGCCTCAGTCTCCTTGACCAGATGGGCTGGTGGAGATGTGGCAGCCATTCCAATCTGGTTTTCTCTGGGGCTTCAGGGACAACATGCTTAGCCCCTTTTTATCTAGCAGGTCAGCCTTGGTACCAAGCACTCCCTACCTTGCTGCTTGGGCACAGGCTGGAGACTGTGGAACTTAAGGACCCTGACCTTATAAGCTAGGGAACGACCTCCGGCTCTGTGGATCCCTCAGCAAAGCCAAGCTGTGGTGCAGAGAAGATGGCCAGGAGAGAGAAGTGGAGAGGAGACTTGGTTCAAATCAGGCTGGAGGCCTGGCCACCTTCGCCTTCCTTGCTTGCATTTTTGTTCTCCAGTCCCAACTCATCACACCCTTCTATACAATCTCTAAGTTGTGTAAGACACCTGATGCATTCATTTAGCAATTTTCATTCTGTACTTATTAAGGTGGGTGTTAATATTGCTGCCTTTTACAGATGAGCAAGCAGATAGTGGGAACTTCCCAGGATCCCACACAGCAGGTGAACAGAGCCAAGGGTCAGACCGCCACTAAGACCCCTCCATCCTGCAGAGCCTGGCTTCTTCTTGCCTCCTCACCCTGCCTTCAGCTCCATGACCTCCACACTGGTTTTGTGCCTTTGAATGTGTACAGATTCTTCCTGAACTTTGTGCCTGTTTCTTTTCTTGCAAAGTGGGGTCAGGACAGATCTTGGGGTTCATCGCTGCCTTTGTGGTTTAAGAAGCCCAGTTTGATATAGATCCAAGAACCCTCCCTCAGCCCTGATAAGGATGTGCACAGCCTATCTCACTTGACCTGTTTGCACAGCCCCCATGTTCCCCTCTCTCTTCCCAGCCCTAGGAAAGCAGCTTTGACCAGTCTACCTCTGGAGTCAGCAAGTCTGAGCTTTCCATGAGACCCTGGAATTCCCGGTCCATGTGGTCCCAAGATATTGTCCAAATGTGTTAGCAAGATGATGCACAGTAGTAAACACTGCCACATTCACGTTAAAATGAGGACCCGTCCATGTGACGTGATAACAGGAAGAAGGGTAGCCGAGATGAGGAACCAAAGCTGATGCGGTACAGTGCCACAGCAGGGTCACAGGTCTCCACTGTGCAGGACCAATCTCACAGAGTACCCTCCTGATACCTTCCATGGCAGCACAGGTGTGCCATTCCCATTCTGCCCGATGAAGAAACAGACACGATGGGTTCAGCGATGTGCCAGCCCTCGCTCTGTCCCAAACCTGGTGTCAGGGACTGGGCTGGTGGATCACTGAGTCATGTATTATTATGGATCCTTAAATGCTCAGAGGCCACATGTGCGTGACAAGGCCACACACCCACAGAGCTGCAGAGAGGGGTTGAGAGCAAGGCAGAAGAACTTGTTCTAGGAGCCCTGAAATTAGAGTCAGCAGTGTGACTGCTCACAGTGCCCAAGCTCCGAGTCTCGGGCTAGATGGGAAGCCAAGTGACTTTTGTGCTTTCAAAGCAAAGTAGAAAGCCCCACTTCCCCTCTGCTGGCTGCGTGAGGGGAATTCCCAGCAGAACCAACCACTGGGTTGAGTCATCTTGGTTGAGAGGAACATGCTTCCGTGGGATGTGGCTATAGGTTATGAACTAGAAGAGGTCCAGGTAGGGACTAGCTGAACCGCAACCCCCACCCCCACCCCGCTGAAACACAGCAAGCATCGCTGCTGTGTCTACCCTTCTGAGTTGCCATGCACCTTCAGGCTTTGCCTTCTTCAGGCTGCAAGCTTAGGGAGGGCATGACCAGATGCCAGGATGTACACAGGCTGTGTACAGCAGTTGCAGTAGCTTGATTGGAATCGTCTGCAGCTACGCACCCCATCCCAAGCAAGTCCATCTATTGCACCCCATCCCAAGCAAGCTCATCATCTATGCACCACATCCAAGCAAGTCCAGGTTTGTGTTTCCTTCCCTGGTCTCATCTGAGAAGAGCAACCTTTAATAAAGCGCAGGCATTTGAAGGCTTTGAAGACCAGCTTCAGTTGCCCACTGCTGGTCCATCCATAGTAACCAATCTGTAGTTCTCTACATCAGGGATATATGGACCCATTTCCCCATTGGACGGGGAGCTGGGTATGCCTCTTGGGAACTCTTGGGGGCCATACTTGGCAAATGACCTTCGTGACTGTTCAACTTTGTCCATTCACCTGGCAGTGGGGAAATGGCTCTAAAAAGAGGCCTTATGTTTGATTGGCTGTCCCCCTATAGCCATCTTTTCTAGGACCCCAGACACCAATTTGAAGACAATGATAAATTACATTGCCAAGGTATGCTCTTGGTTTTGAAGTGTGTATTTGCCTAAAATTATTCATTAGATACCTACAAAGTGCCTACAAAGGCACTGAGACACAGTGATCAGTGTCTCCTCGTCCCCAAGAAGTCATCATAGGAATGCTTTCAGGAGACTTTCCCAGCATGACATGAAAGCTGGCCTGTGAAGTTTAAGGCGGCCATAAGTTGGGGCCCCAAGGACTCACCTAGGCAATAGCCGGAAGTGAATGCAAGCCACAGGGCATGGGAATGATGGCTTGAACCTGCCAAATCGTGTTTGCCTTTTACAAGAAGACTACACGGGGGCTGGAGTGTGCAGCAGAGCGTTTGCCTAGCAAGGGCCTGGGTTCTATCCCCACACCAAAAGACGAAAAAAGTATCCCGCAAGATGAGCAGGCTTTAGCTATTGCCGTTTTGAGAAGGGATGGTAACAAGTGGTCAGGGCAGGACATGCTGAGTTGGAGATATCCAACCTGAAGTCGTGGCAAATCCAGTAAATGACAGAGAAACCCCTTGACCCTCCAGATCCACCTCTTTCCAGTTCCGCTATTCTGTCCTTCTTTTCACCCATCCCCTTGTTTATAAGTGACCATTTGGTACATGGTCACAACAAGGGCTTCCCAGATCAGATGAGGGATTTGAGAGCCCCTACAATTTCACAGGCTGCTGACAGAAGCAGGCACACAAGGTTTCCAGGTAACATCCAGGGCCATCCATGCAGGAACCCCCAGGTCAGACAGTAAGTACCTTCAGCCTGCTTCACCTGGAAGTGGTTAGAGCAGGACTCACTGAGAACAAGATAGCTAACCTGAGATCCAAAGGATGAAAAGGAATCCCTGAAGCCTGTGTGGTGTCCTGGGTCTACTGGATAATATTGGGACATCCCAAGAGAAATGATCAGGGCTCGTAGATCCTGTACTCCCTCTAACTTCTAGCCCTATTCATGAGTCTGCAGGAACCCTAGACCTCTGTGGCTGTGGGAGTGATGTCACGAGGCTGAAGCCGGCCTTTGAGGTGGGAGGCAAGAGAGCGGAAGGAGCATGGCTCTGCAGAATCAGCAGAGCCTACGGACTGCCCGGCCCTGCCGTGCACCTGCTTTGTTGATTGTGAAAAGACAGACACAGCAAGGTCTAAGTGTGCACGTGTCTGTACACAAGTGCTGTGGGTGTGTGGGGGAGGTGAGGTATTGCTGGTGAGAGCCTGCACCTTGTGGATGGTGAAGGTGCTGTCATGGGACAGATCCAGAGGAAAGCTGCCTGACCTTGGACAAGCAGTTTCACTTCGGGTAAAGTAATTCAGAGGTAAATGTCCCAGTGTGTTTCTTCCTCCTTATCTCACAGCAGGGGGCAGTTCCAGAGCTCAAGGTCATGAGTTCTAAGGACACCCCCCCCAGGAGGGCTGCTGAGTTAGGGAGGGTGCTGCAGGCACCCAGAGTTGCGTGGTGCCTATAGCAGTCCCATATACGTCTCTGTCTGGTCCTCCCCTGAGAAAGAGGAACCTGTGTGTGACTTCAGCTAAACCAGCCAAAACAGGAAGTGCATGAGCCAGGTCCTGCACAGGGTTTCTGAGGCCCCGATGGGATGTGGTCAGGGTCAGTTTAGGAGCCTGAGGTCTTATCCTCCTCCCCACGGCCCAAGAAGACTGCCTGACATCCTCGTGGAAGGGACTCTCAGAATAGGGTGCCCTGGCCTTGGCACAGCCAGTTAGGTACAGGTGACATGACATTAGCAAGGAGCAGTGTGCATTGATGTAAACACTGATAGCTGTCACCCAGGGACAGGGCTGGCCTCATCTCCCATGAACGCGTCATGTCTGCTGTGGCTCACATTAGCCAGATCTGTACATTAAAGTTGTTAGAAGAGCGAGCAGAACTGCTGAGAGAGAGAGTGTGTGTGTGTGGGGGGGGTGCTTTCCCACGGTCAAGGCCTCATAGGGGCCACTGGTTGCTGGAGACACTGAGATCCGAGGCCCATGGCTCGCAATTAGATAGCCACCACCTCGCCGGGTGGTGGTGGCGCACGCCTTTAATCCCAGCACTTGGGAGGCAGAGGCAGGCAGATCTCTGTGAGTTTGAGACCAGCCTGGTCTACAAGAGCTAGTTCCAGGACAGGCTCCAAAAAAAAGAAAAAAGAAAAAAGAAACATTTCAGATAGCCACCACCTGCTACTGCAGTTACTGTCCCCATGCGCCTGATCTCTAACACACGCCGCCTTGGCTGGGGTGGGGGGCAGCAAAAGCACCTCCACTGTTTATACATTTCCTTCCTAAAAGCACTTGAAGAGTAAATGCCAAGTACCTTTCTGGCTGTCCCTGCAAAGATGGTGTCCCCTGGATCAGTACTGACAACCACTGGTCACACTTGAGCGCTTGGAACGTGGCTGATGTGAACGTGAAATACACACGATGTTAAGAACTTGACAAGAGATAGTTAAGCCTTACGTATTGTGTGTGTGTGTGTGTGTGTGTGTGTGTGTGTGTGTAGGTGTGGGCACGTGTGTGTCAAAGTACCCATGTGGAGGTCAGAGAACAACTTGTTGCTTCTCTCTTTTCACCAGGTAGGTACCAGGGTCAAGCTCAGGTCACCAGTCTTAGAAGACTGTGCCCACCGAGCTGTCTCAACAGCCCTTAGGTAAAATGTCTATATTGGTGATGATGAGAAATGAAGATGCTTAGTGGGATCGGGACTTGTCCTTGGCTTTTGGGAACCTGTTCCCCATGCTGGGTTGCCTTGCCCAGCCCTGATGTGGGGAGGAGCTTGGTCCTGCCTCAGCTTGGTGTACAAAGCTTTGTTGACGCCATGGGAGAACTGCCCCTTTCTGAAGGGAGATGGAGAAGTGGATGGGGGGGGTATGTGGGAGGCAGGGGGAGAGAATTATAAGAGAGGAGGGAGGGAAAACTGTGGTCAGCATGTAAAATAAATGAAAATTTTAATTAATAATATATTATATAGTGGGTCATGGTTGTATATGCCTGGATTCTCAGCAATGGGGAGACCAAGGCTAAGAGTTTGAGGCTAGCCTGGGCTACGCAAGTGAGACCCAGATCAGCTTGAGCTTTTGCAATTTGACAGTGTCACAAAAATAAATTTTTATAAAATGATGTAAATTTTCACTTGCGTCTCCGACTATCTATGTGGCACTGTGGACTCAGTCTGTGGCTTTTCACGTGGCCTCAGGTCATAATGTTGGACCGTCCAGAGGCTGAGGAGATGAGGTGCCGGAGAGATAGATGCCTTCTGCTGGGCAGGTGTGTTTCAGTAGACGCTGGCCAGCTGCAGCAGGAAGCCCTAGCCCCACTCTGAACAATAGTTCCCTGTATTCAGGCATAAATCAGTAGGGAAGACCATGTCTGGGCTTTGGAGCTAGCCAATCCCAAGTTCCTAGCCTGGTGACCCAGGGTCAGTTAGTCAGCCTTAAGTTTCAGTTCCCCAACACGGAGACCATTTAAATGGTCCTTTAGAAGATTTTTTTAAAAATGAAAGCATGGGGGCTGGAGAAATGGCTCAGAGGTTAAGAGTACTGACTGCTCTTCCAGAGGTCCTGAGTTCAATTCCCAGCAACCACATGGTGGCTCACAGCCATCTGTAATGAGACCTGGCGCCCCCTCTGGCATGCAGGCACACATAGAAGGAATGCTGCACACATAATAAATAAATAAATCTTTAAAAAAATAAAAAAATTAAAATGGAATCATATAGAATCAACCACAAGAGACCATTGGTCCCACACTCATGGAGTCGACCAACTTCAGATAAAAATTCTTTGAAAAACCTGTGTGTTCTGAACCGTACACACAAACTGTTTGCTTGCCACTATTGCCCAGATGATATAACTTGACAGTTACAAAGCATTTGTATTCGTTATTAAAAGTGACCTAGTGATGACTTAAAATACACAGTTGGGGTATGCATAAGTTATATGCAAATACAATATTTTAAGTGAGAGCCTTGGGCCACAAGCATCCTGGATCCCATCCCACTGTGACACCAAAGAGTGACTTTAGATGGCAAATGCAGTCCATTGAAGGGTCAGATATCAGGATATTTTGTTTCAGTATGAATATCCTGGGGCGTCTGAAGCTTGAGGAAGGCCCTGAGGTCCATCTTCCCTTTAGCAGCCTGACCTCACTTACCTGGTCCATGGGTGGAAATGGCCTGGCTGGGGGTCGGTCTGAGGGGATACAGTGGTCTCAGCAGGGGTTGGGCCTCGAGTCTTGTCTGCCAGGCTCTGCTCGATGGCCATCTGGAGCAGCTCCTCCTCACTCAGGCTGCTGTACAAACTGTATTCCTCCTGTCCAATGGCACGCTGGCTACCCCGAGTGGTGATCTCGGTCGCCATCCTGGCCACTTCTCCTCCACCTTCTAGAAGAGAGACTCAGCAGTAGCAGGCACACAGCAGGTGACAAATCCTGTGAGGAAACCAAAATCACCCCAGTCAGTCAATGAGCGTGCCACAAGACAGCCATGTTTACCCACAGGGAAGGCTATGCAATCGCCTATCTTTTAACATGCATGTATGTGTCTGCTTGTGAGTATGTACACCTTAGTGTGGATGCACATGGAGACCAGAAGAAGGTGTCAGAGCTCCCGCAGCTAGAGTTGCAGGTAGCTGTGCACCATGTGATATGGGTGTTAGCAACCAGACTGGATCCTCTCCATGAATAGCAAGTGTGCTTAGCCGCTGAACATCCCTCCAGCTCACACTTTTAAAAAACTTCATTCATTTGGACATGGACTCTGTCTGAACATCAAGCCATCTACACAGCCATCCGTTCACTCATCGGGTCACCAATCCATCTAGCCTCCAAGGCATCATCCCGTTGTTCATCCTCTCACACATCTGTCTACCCACCTCCAGCTGTGCACACCCAGCTTCCCATCCATTCTCCCATGTGTCCTCTTCCCTGCCCACGTGTCCAAACATCCAAGTATCCTCCCCATCCATCCATCTTCCTACCCATTGACCAGCACGTGCCCTCAACCACTCCTGCCTCAACTCTTTCACTCATTATTATTTGCCAGCCCATTGGACCTTCCAACAATCCATCCATCCATCCAACCTTCCACCCATCGCACCACCACCCACGCTTCCATCTATTCATGCCCTCAGCCACATAGCCCCCCTCCTCCTACCCATTCCCTTTTACACCTGTGTATGTTGGTACCCACTGCATTTCCCTTCCAGGAACCCAATCTGTACAGGTATGATTGTATACATCGACTAAGAGATTAGTCCTTGTGCAACTACTCTGGGTCAGGCACTCTTCTGGGGACACAAAGACCTCAGCATCCTGACTCCTGCCTTGTGAGCCCACACAGTGTCATGTGCATTCCTCCCATCCAGTCCCAGCTGCGTCCCACACTGGCACATCGAGCCTGCTCTTCGCTGTGGGAGGGCTGAGAATGAAGGGGATGAGTCAGACGTGGGCTCACGCTTGGGATGGCATGATCCGGTTAAGACCGGCCATCACAACAGTTCGTTGCAGGGCCTCTTCTAAAAGATACAAATGCCTGGAAGAGAACAGAGCAGGCAGAGCCATGCTCTTTCAGTGAATGAAATCAAACCAGCCCAACCTGTGATATTTACTGGCTTGCAACAGTGTGGCCACAGGTCAATGGTTCTCAGCCCTGGCTGAGCATTCAAGTCACATGAGGTCTTTAAAAAAAAAAAATGCCCCGCCAAGTGCCAGCATTCTAGTTCAGCAAATATGTGCCCCCTCCCTCAGAGACAGATGTCCTTCTCCTTCCCCTTGGATATTGGGCCCAAGCCCTTGAGAATTGCTCTCCCAAGTGGAAGCAGGCACACCAGGCACATGAGAGAGCTCTTCTGACATGTCCAGTGGAGAGAATTTCCCATGAGACCTGCTTCTTTACAACCTGGGCCCCTAAGAGAATACACCAGGCTCCTGAGGGTAGGCAAACTCCACCCATCAGGGTCCCTGCCCAGTTGATGAAAACCCTCCTCCACCAGTGGGAGGCCGACATCCACTCCTAAGCTGCTCTATCCTCAAGTGAGTAGGAACCTCCATGCCGCAGCCCCCACCCCAGCCTACAGCTCAGTCCTTTCTCATCTTTTCTAAGGACTGCTTTGCTATGTGTTCTTGTGGCTCCAATTAGTACCAGGTCCAACCCTTCTCAGAGAAGCCATCCTACAGCCCAAACACCAAGAGGCATTCACTTCATTAATGTTGAAGGGTTCGAATTCAAATCTAAAGCAACACATCTGCCCTCGCCCTACACAGTTTCAAATGAAAATGGGGGAAAAAGTCAATGCCAAGGAGTGTATGCCAAGGCCACCACAGAGAATTAGGGTCATCAGCGATAGTGTAGGGTCATTGCCTCCCCAGCACCAGGAGGAGTGGAAAATAGCAAAGCCACTTTGGAAAGTCAATGGTGTTTGCTGAAGCTGACCACACAAATGGCCTAGCGATCCTCTTCCAGCTACATCCCAAAGAACTAGGAACACATATATAGGTAAGTAAGGTCTAGAATATTCCAGGCAACATCACTCATCTAAACCTAACTGAAACAGATCCGCAATGCCCACCAAAATAAATGACCTAACTAACATAGGAACCAGACAGGTTGTGGAGAGCGTGTACCCAAGAAAACACAGCCTTACACAAGAATGACGCAAAACAACACTGAGTCATATATACATGGTTCACATGTATATACATGATCACACTTATATCAAGTTCTATAACAGGCTAAACTACCTACAGTGATGGAACCCAGAGGCTTAGTTCTTTTGAGAAGCTGTTGTCTGCATGCAGGGACCACAGTGCAGACAGATTCCTTGAGTATCCGCTGCTAAGTATTTTCATGGCACAGTGAGTACCTGTAAGGGTTCCTGGAACCCTTTACATGGGACTTGTGCACACATATTTCTACATGAGCATGCTACATTGCTGGGACCTACAACTCAAAAACACAGAAAATACCAATTAGAAAGTACCACGTCTGAGCCCTACCTCAATCCCCAGCACTCAGAGTCCTGGAGTGTGGTCTGGGTATCAGCCTGTCAGTTTGAAGATGAGCCCAGGCAGGTGGGAACCACTGATGTGGGATTCCCCTCTGTATGCTGTGAATATGTTTTATTAGCATTGGTTAATAAAGAAATTGTTTCAGCTAATGGCTTAGCAGAGTAAAGCCAGGCAGGAAATTTGAACAGAGATAGAGAGAAAGAAGACGGAGTCAGGGAGACGCCATGCAGCTGCTGAAGGAGAAAGAGCTGCTTCTGGCAACTTTCCAGTAAGCCACATTCTCGTGGTGATACGCAGATGAATAGAAATGGGTTAATTTAAGACATAAGAGCTAACTACAAAGAGGCTTAAGCTATTGGTCAAACAGTGTTGTAATCAATATAGTTTCTGTGTGATTAATTGGGTCTGGGAAGCTGGGAAATGAACCCAACAAGTAGTCTACAAGCCACTGGCCAGAAAACAGACAGGAGATGGGCCAATACATGGAAGGGACCCATGCATACATACACACATGCACCTAGCATGCACACACACAATGAGGCCCCTTGAAGCAGTTCTTTGGTTTAATCCCTGTAGCAGTCCTGGCTTGCTCTGTGGATCCCCAGAAAACAAGAAATTTTTCCCAACAATTCTGGACTCTTCTAAGCACAACTGGTTGAGGCTTCAGACTTAAGGCATAAATGTACCAAGGATAGTGAGGACACTGTCCCTGTCCCATGCAGAGGTCTTTCTGGTACCATTGCCCTGTGCCTCCCTCTCTAGCCTTTTAAGTCACTCCCATGCTGGTGTCCCTGCCCTGGGCTCCAGATTCACCCACCATCCACTCTGACACACTGCGCTCACCGCCCCCAGCTCCACTCTCCTGGGAAGGAAGCTCCTGCCCCAGCTTACCCCTTGCTCTTTACCCCTTCACTCTCTTCCTCTGTACACCCTAACCTTCCATACCTGAGTGGTACCTCTCCCGACATCCCCGAGGCTCCCTCCTACCCCAGCATCTCCTCTTGTTGTGACATGCCTCCCCTTCTCTCTGCTCCTCAAACTCCTCCTCAATATTTAAGGCTCCGCAGCAACTGTCCTCCCAGAATTCTATCCTGATTCCGAAAGGATTCGTGGGCTATGGTCAGTGAGAACTTGGCAGTGGCTGATTGGGGGTTCTGGCAGAGCAGGCCACAGTGTGCCTCCCTGGCCACCTGGTCTCCCATTCCCTCAAATAACAGACCCCAAACCTTCCAGAAGTCTGTCCTGGGCTGGATGCTGTGCACACAGCCTTGCCTTGCAAACCTTCCAGAAGTCTGTCCTGGGCTGGATGCTGTGCACAAAGCCTTGCCTTGCAGTAGCCCTCCCGTCTCCAAGCTTCTGACTTGACTTCTCGCTCCTACTCCAGAACTCCAAGGAGAGCGGCTGTAAGTGGCTGTAAGTAAGGTAGAGCCCTGCAGTCCCCTCTGTCCCCAGTGATGCCAGTGATGCATACACACACACATGCGCTCTCTCTCGCTCTCTCTCTCTCTCTTACACACACACACACACACACATGTGCTCTCTCTCTCTCTCACACACACACACACACACACACAGTTAACTGGCGCTTGATACCCCGCGTCATTCACGTCATTTCACAGATGAAGCAGTTAGGGTTCAGAGTGGAAAGGGTATGCCTTGGGGAAACTGGGGTTGAAACCTTGGTCCTCCAACCTCAGACCAAATGCTCCTCCTGGAAATTCCAGACTGACAATCAGATCAACAAGCCCACATGTGTGTTCTGAGCAGGTGGACCATCTCCCGGCCCAGGCCTAGGTCCTGGGGGAAGGCCAGAGTGCCAAGACCCACTGGGATGCCAGCTAGGATAGGAACAGTCATTTCCCAGGGAGAGTGGACCCATGGGTCCTCACTGGCCAAGCCCAGGACATGCACCAGTGGTCCAAAGCTGGTCAGCCCACATGCAGGCTTGACCCAGGAGAGCTAGGCCTCGCTCAGGTCCCTCCTGCCCTCTGAGGTGCCCTGCATGTTGAGTCCCAGGGTCCCCTCCCAGGTGGCCTCTGTGTGGTGGTGGGGGCGGCTGTCTGAAGGGTCGAATCAGCAGCCTGCGGTGCCTTTTCGGCTGGGCCTCAGTTTCCAGTCTGTGAATTGGGCCAATGTGGAGCCCAGCTGGACTGTGATGAGGACGGAGACAGCACTGAATAATGGGCCTTCTCTCCCGCTTGTCCTTGAGCCTCCTGTGTGTGACCGTGTGTGGTGCTGGGGTTCGCAGTGGGAGGAGATCATGCTCTGGGCATCCTCTGAAGAAACGACCGAGTGAGCATGACTGGAAGGCAGCCATCCTCTTGCCCACATCCTCTCTGGCCGGGGATCTGGGGTCAGGTATGAGGGGAGGAGTGCTGTGTTCATGGAAGAGCTGAAGAGGCTTCTTCTCAGCAGCCCTCTAG